GAAAGGATCCAGGGCTGAGCCACAGAGTCTTTAAGTGATTCACATGGGGTAGCACTGACAGAGGTGAACGTGTGCCCGTGAAGGGCACAGAGGATCTTTCCGTGTGGGTGCTGAACACAGCTGGTGTATGCAAATTCTGGTACAGGCATATAGTAAGAAGAGTTTTAATGAGCTTTATAAGGTAACGCCCCCATAATATGGGCTTGTGGATGAGAAATCAGGGAAGACATATAGGGAGGAGATCAGGGTGCAATAGGAGCTGTGGAACGAAAGCATCAACAGAGTAGTCGTCGACACAGGATCTGGTTTGCAAGGAGTCCTGTGATTTAGCTTAGAAAGGCATTAATAGAGCTCAAGGTAAGGTCAGAAAGGAGCTAGCGAGGGATCTCTCTGCCACACAGAATTGTCAAATGTCAGGATGGGAGTGGGATTAGTCAAGATGGCATGGGATGTGCTTGGCTCCATCAACCTTATCCAGCCAGCCTTGCCCCAGGTGAGTGGTGGGTACAGTTACTTTAGGAATGTTCTGCAATCAGAGGACAGATCTTTTGATTGCTGCTAGTGACTGTCCAGTGGCTTAATAGCTGGCAGAGCAGAGCTAACTGCAGGCACTCTCTCTGGTCTATTTGGTCCACAAAAAAACCTCATTGCACAACAGTGTGTGCATAATTCAGAGCTGGAATGTGGCTGTGCAGGGTGGGTTGGTAGCGGGTAATCCTTCCCCAGCTCTGTTATGCTAGCTGACTATTTGAGTTTATTTTTAGCTTAAGTCTCTCCCCTGGCCCCATTAAAGTCACTATCTGAGCATCTTTCGGTGTATTGGACCTGATAACATCTGTACAAGGCAGAGGTATGGAGACGCTGTGTAACTTGCCTCAGGCCACAGAGGAAATGTGGGGCACAGCAAGAAACTGCTGGTCCTTAAATGCCAGCTCATCTGGCTTTTCTCCCCAGAGACTTTCCCCAGTGTGATCAAATGTTTTTAACCAACTACTGCCAATTGAGTTAAATTCGGGGAACTTGGTGACTTTTTTCAAAACAGGTAAAGGCACTAGGTGTAACTTCTACTAAGCCATCAAAAATACTGTATGCCCTAATCCCTATCCACAGAAATAATGGATGCTAGCTAATGTTACCAGTAGCAAATACAGCATCATAACAATAATATAAGCAAAACTTTTCTTTTACTCTGAGCATATGTCTGTAACATTTCCAACCATAAAAATCATATCAAAGCAGTTATTCTAGATCAGAGGTGCTTTATTTTTCCCATCTGTAAGAGGTAACCTCATTGGAGAATTGTATGTTTACATTCAGTCCATAATGCAACTGCAGCCTTTGGAAAGTGCAGCTGCTGCCCTTGAAAAAAGAAACCATCAATTTTATTGTCCAGCTATTTTTTATTTAAATAAATGAACTGCAGTCTGATCCTGGAGGAGTAGAAACATCTTGCATACATGATGGATTGAGTTGTTTAAAGAGCCTGTCCTCAATTTTAGGCCTTTTGATAAGTGTGGAAAAGATAGGAGAAGAACTGATAAAACTGCTCAGCCAGCAATGTCAAGAAGTGACTTGCTTGGGCAAAAAAATAGCCTTGTTTTTCAAATAAATGTTGTGCTTGTGTGTCACCCAGCAAACATCTCTTAGGCCTTTTTCTCAGCACCCAGAGAGTAAATCGACCTTCATCCAGGGCTTGCATAGTTGTGTGTTGCCGGATTATCTGTACCAACAGAGCATGCTGCTGACAGAGGGTGCAGGTCAGAGCAGGAGGGACCAAGTCCTGTTTATGTTTGTGAGGGGTTTACAAGGCAGGAGGGGAGGCCAGTCTTTCAGTCAACGTGCAGTTGCAGCACTTGGGAAAACAGTCTTCTTCCTGGTCCTGCCCTGGCCCAGCCCAGGTTCTGACCCGTGGCTGAGTCATTTATCTGCCCCAGTTCACCACCTCCTAATCCTTCCCAGAATTTAAAAGGTTGTTTTTGAGGCTGTCTGTTGGTGACCTGAATGAGGAGCAGGGTTTTGTGCTATTGCAAGCGCCAGGCCAGGCACCCATCAAACATCAATGAGTTCCACTTGTTCGCGCTGCATCATATCCACAGGGGCTTCCTACCCTGCTCTTTATTGTGTCTATCCCAGTCATGGTGTCTTCCAGTTGCACCTTCTCTAAACTATCCAGAACTGCATGCAAAAACTCCAGATATATCCACACAGAGGATATATCTCCAGATAAATCCAAAGGTCAATCACTCAGCAATAGATTGTAGACTTCTTCCAGAATATGTACAGAGAAGAAACTGGGAGAGGAATCATCCCTTCAGCCTATAAGGTTCTAGACATCAGGTCTCAACCACCAGAGCATGGGAAAGTTCCCTCTTGCCTCCATCAAGAAACATCTAAATTCTGTGCTCCAGCAAGTCCCACATGGGACCATTATGTTACAGCACAGCTAAACAGCCCTGATTCATGCTAAAGACTTTTGACACTTCTCTTGTTTTCAGGGCTGAATGTGTTTGACCTCTCCAGAAGCTGGAAGAGTCTGTGTCTCAACCAACATCCCTGGGGACTCCAGTGGCTCTGGTGCTGGCTAACAAGCTTTGACCATTACCATACAGCTGAACTCCCATCTCCAGAAAGGGAGCAAATTGTAGACAAATTGCTTGTTGAGAAAGGCCACTGGATGTGGACATGCCTGACTGCCTGGGAATTGTTTCAGAAAGTGGGTACAGGGTAGTAGCGTGTCAGGGACCTTCTTACAGTGCAAGATGAGCCCCTGGACTGGAGATGTCATGGAGCGGGTCACTCATGTAGAAAACAGTCTGGCTGGAAGATCTACAGCTGGATTGTCCCTTTTCAGTGACCAAGACTCAGGACTTTTGCAAAAGCCAGAATAAGTCACCCCATATGGCCCATATCCTCCCTCTGCCAGTACCCAGACTCGACTCATATGAGGAAGATAGTTCATTCCGGATTTTCCCTTCAGGGAAACTCCTTCCCTGCTTCCTACAATTAGCAGCTTGTTAATGCCATGCCTCCCAAGGACTTATGTACTTTTCTCTTTCACAATATCAGTGTCATTATCTTCTGACAACCTATTGACTTCATCCAGAATTTGATGCTGGCCCTTGTCCCATGGCTATGGGTCCCCCAGATGACTCATCTCCACCTGTAAATGATTCTTTTGTTACTTCAGCCTGTGGCTCTGCACATCCTATGCAGGTCCACCAGTTCATAGAGTATGAGAGAGGAAAATGGGGCTCTTGGCCAATCTCCCTCCCTTTCTAGTCCTCCACCCATTGCTGCCCTGACTTCACAGCTCCTTGAATTCATGGGTCCAGCTTGTCTTGTCGCTTCCACCAGGGGCTCTCCCAGGCCCATCTGTACACTCTGCTGACACCAGCCTTGTCTTCTTTTGTTTTATATTAAGAGGAAGTACATGTGACATAGTGGTCTTCTCCAGAACATTTTCTACCTTGTTTTTCAGATCTCTTCACATATGTGTTGCTTGAAGATCTTATCTGAGAGTTTGTTTTGGGCAGCTTTACATGGTTTTAGGCAGCTTTCTCTGCTGCCTTTGCCAAAAACTGTGCAGGATCTCCCAATCCAAGGTGGAAGCACTCAAGTTTATATCCTTAAAATAAACTATCATCTGGAGAAGACAAACTATAATTTAGAATCTATAATTATATAGAGGGGCTATAACTGTATAGGAGAGATGTTAAAACTATAGTCTGCCTTGCACACAGACACCTCATTGGTATCAGCAACAGAGAGGGCTTGAAATGATGTTCCACATATTTGAAGCTTGCATGGTTGCCGCATTCATTACACAAGTAAAGGTGGGCAAAAGATGACGGTTGTGTCAGTGCCAGAGGTTGCACTAAGCGACTCCTTCAACAGGTGTGAACCAAATCTTCTACAGATGATGAGTGCAGAAAGCCACTCCAGCTCCAGCAGGGAATCCCGGGAAGGATGAAAGATCAGTGGGTGAAGAAGGGAAATTCTTATCATAAGGAAGGGAATAGAGGACTCTGTGGGTATCCTCATGACCTCAACAAATCTTCAGGAAATACCAGTCTCACCCTGTTCTTCAGCACTCCCAGCCCTGTCCTGAGAGCACCTCACGAGGAGAAGAGTCAGGCCCATGTCCTTCTCTAGCTCCCCTGTTCTTGTTTTCCTTCATCTTTTCCACACACTTGCCCATTTCTCAGTGACTGTATCTCACCTGGGGGGTGGCAGTAGGTGTGTGCCCACAGGTGTGTGCTCACCTCCACGATCAAGGTACCCAGAGGGGAAAATGCAAGCTGTGACGTTTACTTTCTCCACTCTTCCTGTCTGCTAGACAACGCCCCAGGACCTTTAAGATAAACAACTCTTCAACCTTGTGACAGGACCTGTGTCCCGGGGTTGTGGCATGGGGAATGGATCAAGGATGAACTTGGAAAAGAAGCTTGAGAACCTGCCTGTTCAGGGGCTTGCCACTATGGCCAGGATGGAGGCTGGCAATCCCAGAATTAGAGTGGTTGGCCAGGATACCATGGGGACACCCTTTTCACTTTAATGGTTATTGCCCACCATGGTGCTCCACATACCTGAGTGTGTAGTCCTGCCCACAATCCAAAGGATGCTACAGCTATTGGAAGGGGTATGAATGGCTGTATGCACATGTAGCAAGGGAAGGTGAGCATTGCTTTTGTCTTGTATGGTAGCTAACAATGTGCAGTGTCCAGGTTCTGTAGGTCACAACCAAGTTCCCCTTCAGGTGTGATTGTTTTTCACAGGTTTTCCTGGGGTACGTGCCCTCCAGAATTGGTCATAAGCCCCTCAAGTTTTGGAAGTGCGGTTGCCACCTCTATTTTGCTCTGCCATGGTGCCTCTCAACATATATTGGCATTAAACAGCAATGACCAAGATTGAACATTGGCCAGACATGCAACAGACCCACCTGCAGTTGCTTCTGGGTGCAGAAATAAATGACTAAGTGATATAGAGGTAACACACTCACACTTGGTTCAGAAAGAAGTATATTTAGATATTATGCAGATAGCATGGACATGTATTTTCTTATTTGGTAGCATTACAATACAATAACAGTAATGAAGAAGCTATCATACGGCAAAGATCTGCCATCAGCTCCAAGGATGCTGTGTGCCCAACACACTGATCTGCTCCCAGTTACAATTCCTATCAGAAGAGGGGTGCTCCAAGACTTGCTGTGCTCATGGGAGTCCTCTGTTCTCCTCAGAGTTTGTTGTTCAGGAAGATCCAGAGCACGCTGGCTGTGATCCCTGCTGCCATCCCATAGCTGCACCTCACGCTGCCTGCTGCATTGATATTGCAGAGGTTGCTGCTGCAGCAGGAGACGTTCCTGCTGCCTACGCCCATGTCCTGATAGAGTGGTTCACATGATGAGTCACAGCCCTTGTTGATGATGCTGAAAAGCGTTGCAGCCCCTGGAAGAAAAGAAAGACCATTACTATAAGGATTCAAGGCAAGCTAAGCCAAGCCTCATGGAACTGAATAATGAGGTGTTATGCCTATCTGAACTCACTTCTCAGGAAAAAAAAAAAAATCAATGTTTCCAAACAGTTGCATGTTTTACTGTAGCAGGGCGTATTTTTGGGGTGTTGGTTTGTCAGCAGAGCAGGGGAAGTGTTTCAATCCCCAAGTGTATGCTTAAGGAGGAGTATTCCACAGCACAGTTCTCAGGGTTTCTAAAACAGCATCAACTACAGAAGTCCTAATAATGAAAGTAGCCATTAATTAATAATGAATGCAGCCATTAACACCTCTGTTGGAGAGTCTAAGCTACTAACAGTTGAGGAGCAAGCATGTGGTGTAATCTTTGCTTGTATCCTATATGTCTTTGTTACACGGAGCCTCTCAACACCCAGGGAAGTTATGGAAACATGACTACCCCCATTTCACAGATGACAGAGTTGTTTGATTTGTTTCTGAGAGGCAGAAACTATTCTTCTGTTGCCTGTGGATACTGAGTAACTGCTGGTTACCAGCAGGTCATGGTCTGCATGAGATATGATCTTGCAAAATCTATTCTGGGTACCAAGTCTTTGGCATATTGAAAGTATAGGTCCAGTGGGCTATAAAATGTGTTGGCTCTCCTGGAGCCATGGGTCTACACATTTCCAACAAGGACAATGCCTGCTGGAGGTATTACATTTACTGCCTGACAGAGATGAGTTTGAACATGCCACTGATGGGTTTTGTGCCTCAGGTCTAAGAGCAACTGAGCTGTCACCACAGATCTGGACAGGGCTAACATTTTTTTTGCCAGATCTAGAACTGGAGAATTAAATCATAATCTGTCAAAGGACTTTACCCAGAGACAGACAGGTGGTTGCATTCACAGCTGGCTGTATATGGGCCTAGGTGGAATTCTATCCTTTTCATTGAATTCACCGGAAGTCAGCTCTGTGATTGAATTCTTCTCCTAATTTCATGATTAGATTTCACCAGATTTAGCCCCTCACATTTTAATTCGTGTTCCAAATTTTTCAAAGCCATAAACTTAACTATTGTAAGCAAATAATTTTTGGTGTTACAAAAGAGAAATAAACCTAATTTTATACAGGTGAGAGACATAGGTAGATATTTGCAATGTCAAGTGCAGCTGCACCCTCCTGACATTCGTTCTAGGCACTGGCACTGTACTGGCCATACTCCTCATTTTTTAACATGATCTCTTGGCAAACACTGAGGAATTTATGGGGTACAGCACGAGCATGCTAATATGACTTTGTAATAACACTCTTGTAGCCAGTGTGGGGAGAGAACTTGGTGATGGTCAGCACCACTACCAAGGGACCAGTTATCACCAAGGGATAAATATTTTTCTTCTGTCATTTCTACTTAACATGAAAGTTTTCTGAAAGCTTTTTCACCACTCTTTTTTCCCCAGATGGCCTTTCTTTTCCTGCTGCACACAGAGCTTTGCTGGCCCACATCTAGAATCGGTGAGGCTGGTTTGGACACCGAAGCTGGGACCACGCTTGGCTCCAACATCATAACTAAGATATTGCCCACCCCCACTTTGCCTTACTGAACACTTCCGTCTTGCATATTTCCTTATCCTTGCAGTCCACTTTCTTCTGACAGTTGGAGTTGCTGAGCTGTGCCGTGCAGCTGTAACACTGCAAAGAAGAACCTGCAAGAAACCAAGAGGGGTTATAATATAAATTTATTTGAAGATCTTCAGAGAACCCAACTTAGCGCTTCCACTGGGAAACAGGACTATTCCCGTGGGTCCTCAAAGGATGATAGAACTTCTGCTACTGGGAAAACAAGCTTTTTCCATTTTTGGTGGAGAATAGTACACTCACATGGACCGAGAGACAAGTTTTGCAGGTGTTGAAGATGTTTCAGATGTAGTCAGTGCAGTGAGGAATCAAAAAGAGATCAGATGGATAGATAATATCACTGACTAGTCTCATCAGTCAATGGGAATTGCTTCCCACATGCTTCTTCCTCTGAATTTGCGATGCCTAACACAGGTCCTGTCTGGAACAGGCCTTTTGTGATATTCCCACCTCCTGAGCTGGGATGGAGAGATGAAGTCCCCAGAAGGACGTACTATTTGTCTGCCGCTATAGACATTGGTGTTTTACCAGGTGGACTTGTGAGCCTTAGCTCGGGCATTGCCAGAGTTGGATGAAAAAGGGAAAGCCAAGAGGGAAGAAAGGTGAAGAAGGTCTGGAACAGGCAATTTGTAAGGTCTCTTCCAGCCCATTGTCTTTGCTGGACCAATTTGTGATACACACTCTCCATCACCCCTTCTTAGAAAGCGAAGTTCAAATATGGATTTCACCTCCCTCTGAAAACCAGGTCACCACATGTTTCCACCTCCTCATGGACATGCTGGTCTATAGGGGACACAAGTCAGTGCTGTTAACATCTGCTGTGCTGTTACGTGCATCAAGCAAAGGCAAAATAACCATTGCAGCTTACAAGGCTCTAACCCTGATGAAAAACAGTCCCCAGAGGAGTGAGACTGTGGTGCAATTACCTGTTGCTACTACCTACCCATGCCCCAGGGCATCACTGGAGCCCTGCAAGTGTGAGAGTTAAGGTATATATGTATATATATATATACTTTAAACCTCTGACAACCAGGCTTGTATTATGAATCCCTCAAGTCAATACCCTAATGCCTAAAATACTCTTTTAGGACACAGAAAAACCCTATTTAGATATAAGTATTATTCAGAGCAGGAAGAAGTGAATTGAGGCACTTGGTCTCCCTCTGTCCAAGTTGTTCTTGTATAAATGACTGACGCAGTCATAGAGGCAAGGAGCCAAACCCCAGTTTGTCTGTAGTCCTGCACTCTGTTCTCACACTTATCTGACTTTTAGTGCAAGGAAAGTCAAATTTCAGAGCACTCTGGCAGAGGAGAGGGTCTGGCCAGGACTGTACAAGCCCATTCTCAGACTATTCCTTAAACATCCTTTGTTGTTTGAGAAACATTTCTGCTCAGATCTGCTTCTTCTGTTCTATGGTAATAAGGAAAAGATGGTTTAAAATAATTTATTCCCAGTGAGGCTAGAAAAACCTGACAGTGTCTGAATTCCACCCATCCATTTTATGTAATAGCACACCATGGCATTCTCCCTTTTTCTGTCCCCTTAAAATTCTGACAATCTGTGCAGTGTCAAAGGCAACTTTTGAAATTAATAGTCAGAGAAAAAGTTGAAACAAAACTTACCTTTGCAGAAGTGCTGCAATTTTGATAGCCTGAGAAGAAGAATAATAATCCTCCCACCCCACTTAGGAAAAAAAAATGACATACGCACATAACTATATGGTCTGTTTTAAATAACTTTGATTTCAATTGAATTCAGTTTTGTATAGGATTTATCTTTCCTGGAAGCTGCTCTGCCTAACACTAGGATCACACCATCAGCAAGGTGAGAATATGCATTTTTTTTTCTGTACAACACCCAGGTTATCCCATCAAAAAACAAATGTCTTCATATGATAACTGCATCAGCATTTCTTCCTTCACTGTCAAACACCATCACGAGTCTTTTCTCCTAGCTGAAGATCTGCTGAAGGGCAACTCTCCAGGCTGTCTTACCTGAGTCCAACCACAGGACCGCTCCCAGCAGGAGGACAATGAAAGCCTTCATTTTGGATTAGCCTCTCGAATGCTGAATATGGGTTGTTTCCTTTTGGGCAGTTTATATGCTGTGGGAAGCAGCAATCGGGCATGCCCAGAAGGTTATCCTGCGAAGGCACCTGAGCGAGGCTGCTCACTGGACCAAGGGAGGGGTTGGTTTGTAGTGATGATATTTATGTTAGGTGCCTCTTGGAGCCTCTTGGAGCTACCAGTGGCTCCCCTCTACCACTACACCCCCGCCTTTCCTCCTACCCTTAGGCAAAGCATTCACATGAGTGGAAAAAAACCCAGACTCTTTAGAACAAAGCTGGCCTTATGCATTTCCCCAGAGCCAACAGACGCTGCTGTGGTTGCACCCTATGAACAAGTCTCTCCACCCCCATTGCTATTCTGAGTGGAGCTATTGTGTTTAAACAACAAAATGTTCTTTTAATAAACACCACCACCACTATCTGCATGTGTGAGTATCTCTGTGACACTCATGGTATGTGGTAGAAAGGTATGTGGACAAATTACAGTGCATTGGCCTCTTCCAGGCATCCAGGTGCTCATTTGCCCTTATTCGTATGTATTGTCTGTAGTCTAGTAAAAGACAATGGCCATTTCAAATTTTTAGGTGTGTTGAAACCAAAGGGACTTTGTGATGGTTTTGTTTGGTATTGTTTTTATCTGCCAAGTCTGCACCGTGGCATGCTTCTCTTTGTTTGCCAGTCTCTCTGTCTAGTGTAGGTTGGATACGGTTTTGGCACTTGAACTCACATCAGCGTGCACTGTAAACAATTCAGGCTTGTCAAAGAAATGTCACTTCTCATCACTAATGAGGGTGAGGTCAGCAACATTCCAAACTGAACTGTGAAAGTTTGCTTTGGTGCGTTGATTGGAGACCTCTCCCATCCCTCATGTGCTTTGACCACTTCTCAGTACACAGGTATAAACCAGGCATTTCTGATAAATTCAATTTGCCATGGTTTCTCTCTTTATTTAGGATTTATGTTAAATCTCAGGAATCTAGCACTTTGCAGTAATAGCCTGCAGAGTCTTGTTCTCGTGCAGGCTAGCTCTTAGGATGCCAGGCACTTTTTCAAATTGAAAGAAAGGTGTGCTGGCATATTAGTGGTTCATTGCTCTTTATCAGTTGCTGTGGGATGAGTGATGGAAGGTCAGCTGGCCTAAGTCTGATGAAGTTAATGGCACTGCCTTGATTTACACCAGTGGAGAATCTGGTGCAGGGGATGATTTTGAAAATCGAAAAACCTATTTCATCTGTAGGGATCTTAAGTGCTTCCCCTTGGACTCTCGAACTTCTGTTTAAAAAGAAAACAAAACAACCAACCCAGCACCTTCTTCCTTTGTCTATTGACTTTTGCTTCATCATATTTTTGCAGACATCTAATTTCTATGGAACAGGTGGATAAATAAAGTGGAAATATGCTCTCAGACTCTGGTGTTACTTATTTAGAGATATTTAAGGTTATTTTTCTTCTTTAATCCCTAATGATTGTACTTGTAGGGTTTGGTTCCTTGTGTTAGGGAAGAATAGGGCCAGGGGAAAAGCATTACCTGGTCACCTCATCAAATCCACCCAGGCCTTGAGTTACGTATTTCTTCCTTCAAGAAACGAATCAATAAGCAAGAGAGAGTGCTCTTTTCATCCGCAGCAGCCTGACTTGCTGCCCGTCAAACTCTCTAGCACTATTATTTCTTTTTATTCTTTTTATTTGAACAGTATCGGGGCCGACAGTGAAGACCGGGACTCATATTGTTGTGAAAGGGACACACACAGCTAAAAGCCTGTCCCTGTCTCAGTCCTGCTTGGCTGCAGCCTGAGGCTGTGTGGGAACCTGGTCATTCCTAGATCCTTGCATCAGTTGTTGCTCCTCACTGGTTTTTTGAACATTTGTGTGCAGTTCCTGCTCAACTCCTGAAGATGGCAAACGTGCCCTGTTGTAATTATTACACATACATTAACATGCAGTTGTCCATGAGATTGTGTGTGCATAATGATATTATATAATCTCTAGTTTATCTAATTGCATTGAAAAAGACCATCTATTTCCCCAGGGAATATAAGGACGTCTACAGATCTCTTGAGTTTTATTTATTTTTACACTATTTCATGTTGTCACTGCAGATTCCTGATAGCTAGAGGTTTGGAGTTGTCTGTTGAGGAGGGAGGGAGGGAAAGAGGGCTTGATTATTTGCTGTATTCTGGTTCACCTGCCTGGTGTCAGGTTGGGGAAGTGGTGGTGGATCGTTGTACAGAGCATGGTGTCACAGATCACTGAGGAGCTGGATAACAGTAGTAGGCATGAGCTGGAAATCTGAGGACAGGAAAGATAATAGATATTATGGTGCCTTGGAAATCTGGATAGAGATAGCAAGTATCTCTGAAGGCAAAAGAAAGTTGGTCTGATATCCTGGGCTGTGTCAACCATTTGGCTAGGTGGTCTGAAGAGGCTGTAGGGAAATCTGCAAGATGACAGAGATAATGTATTAAGACTTAAACACAGATTACCTTTTTTCATGGGGATGTCTTTTACAAGAAGAAGAGAAAACAAAACAAAACAAAAAAACAAACAAACAAAAAAAAACAAACAACAGAACCCAGCAAAGAGAAAACTAAGATGAAGTTCTACATGCTCATCAAGGCTCCTGAATGAATTGTAGTTTTTGAAGGAACCAGGTCATCAGGGGATTCCGAGCTCAGAGGTATAACACCTTCTCAAATGTCTTAATTCAAGACAGAATTAAGTGTAAGAGCAACAGGAGCTGCTCTCCAAGGCTGCCTGGCCCTGAAGAGATGTCAATGCATTGCTTGCTCAGCATGAGTGTGGCTTGCAGGTCCTTTTTGGGATGTTCTGAAGTACGTGTGTGAAGGTTGCAAGGGGCTACAGAGGGACTCTTACTGACTTTTCCACTCCTGGAAGGTATTTGGTACATGTGCAGTGAATGAGCAGGTACTATCTGCAGTGATGTCTTCAAATCTACTCATGCTGTGGGGATAGGGCATGCATGATAAGGGATTTTAGTGGCCAATTTTAGCCATCAAAGTGGTAATTTCTAACAGCTGCACAGCTGTGTTCCTGGGAAGGCAAGCAACCTCAGGAGCAGCACCCTGTCCCAAGTCAGAATGGGTGGGGAATAAATGAAACTGAGTCATGAGATGGCAATAAGGCAAATCACATTACAGGATTTTCTGCAAGGAGGGAAGCGCAGATCCTAAATGAGGCATGTGATTGGATAGACAGGAAGACAGATGGATAGATAAGGGGAAAGAAAGATTTAAAAATGACTAGATATACAGATGCTGAGAGATGGATGGATAGCTTGCAGTCAGGAGGAGCTGGAGTAGCTAGTCGTGCGTACCCTCTTCTAACTGTGAACGTGATTACAGGCAGGCTTTGCTTTACTTGTGACAAAAGGCCACAGTACGTCCCCTATCTCAGCCTAAAGTATTTCTTATCAACCCTTCAGCTGTTTTCCATTCTCCTGTGCACATGTCTTGTGATGGACAGGCACGATGCTGGCCCAGCAGCAGGAAACATGATTCCTGTTGTTCCAGGGCTGTCCTTGGCTGCCAACAGAGATAGACTCCAACTGCTACATCTGTAGATGCTTAACACTGTTGCATGTCATGGTCTAGCTCACACTACAAGGATTTACTTCTAGGTTTGCTGTTCAAGTAAGCTTTAGAGCTCATGGAGGCAAGGATAGGCTGACTGAGACAACTTCCAGAGTCCAGCAACAGAGACCAGAGCTGTCATTAAGACCAGAACATTGAGCAAAGACAGAAAGGTCTTGGGATCTCTGTCACTGGGCTGCTGATGGACCTCTGACATGTGCCTTCCCTTCTTTGTACCTCTTCTTCTGCTAATGGTAAATAGGGCTCATGACTCCTTCATCCCAAGGGAAGCGTTTTGAGATATGTAGGTGCAAATAAGTACAAACAGTGAACATTATAAAGGTTTAATAAGCAAGGAGCCTGTCTGACCTTGAGTATTTCTATAAGAGGCCAGGCACAGATCCAAACGCCCAGCTATTCCCATTCAGGATTTCAGATTTCAGAAGCTATCCTGACCAGCCTTGGAAGAAAAAGTTCACCTTCACATCACACGCTCTCTTGCTGACAACCACGAAATCAATGCCATTGCTGCAAATTAGTCCCACCATGGTGCTAATCTTGTCTGCAGAGCAAACTGTAGATGGACAAGATTCTGAGGGCTGCAGGGGTTGGAGATTCCCATATGGTGGTGCTGTTGCTGCATTGCCGGTGCACAGACCTCTCGCTGTGTGGGAGCAACCCAGACTGTTTGTTTAAAATCTCAGCAACTTCAGAGCATCAAAAATGCATTTGACATTTTTTTTTTTTTTTTGTTATTTTGCTAATTGCTAAGCTCTTTTGGTTGTAAAAGACTCGGAGTGTGGGATCCCTGCCAGCTTCTGCTGGCAATGCCTCGCGCATCTCTGAGTTGCTTGCAGGAAGAAAGGAGTGCATTTTCCTACGCTTTGGAGTTGGGGTGAAGTGTGGGGAGAGTAGCCTGTGCTATGATCACAAATCAGTTCTGTGCTTGCTTTTCCCTCTCAAAACACTTTCTGATGCCCTCGAATACCAGGCGTTTCAGTTTCCTGTGGACAGATATAACGAAAAGTAGTTTGAAATACAGGCAGAAAACGTGACATTCCTGAGATCACACCACAGGGCAACGTCAGACCTCAGACCAGGACCCTGAAGCACCCTAGCTGCTTCCAAGTCTATGTCCTTTTCCTTCCATCAGGAAAATGATTTGATTGCTCTGACTCCTATAGGAAACCACGGAATATTGACGGGGAAGATGATGAGATTTTCAATCCAGGTAGAAAAGCATAGACCTGATGGCTGGACACACAAAGCCCCATATAGAACCAGCAGGGACAATTGCTCCTCATGTGACATTCAATGCATGGCCACTTATGGTCCATCCTTTCTCCTTCTTGTCCTCATTTTGAGGCCAGTACTCCTGGGTAGTACTACTTACCTCAACTGAGCACAACTCAGGGAAGAAACTTTGGCACCGGAGCTCAGCTCACGGTCTTATGTATGGGGAAAGTATTTTCTTGAGGGAACATGTTTGTCAGGGCTGCTTTGTGACTTAGTTGTGAATTTGTTGACAAAATGTTTTCTGGGTTGGAAAATACCATTTCGTTGACAAATAAATGTTCTGCAGAAATAATAAGACTATTTTAAGTCCAGGATGGATTTTGCAATTAAACTCAGGTAGA